GGAATCAAAATGACATAATTGCTAATTGCTTGTCACTAGAGTGGCGGCAATCCACTTAAACCAAGCAACCATTCATCTGAACCACTATTATAGCCCGAACACAATGAAAACGACGAGCTACGGATCACAGCTGTCAAATTATTTTAACACGTGCTCTTATGTAGATAATTATTTTGGCGACGACCGGGCTACGCGATGACTGTGGGTGTGGCCAGATTAGAACTATTTCGATTTTTCCAGCGACACTGGCAATAAAATATTAGTAAAATATTTTTAATTGCGTATTTTACTTGCGCATGCCGCATATTATCGATTTTTTAGTGCGTGAGATTCCGAGCAACTTTTTGTTTATTTTCAATAAATTTCTATTTCGATAACAATGTTGCAACAGTCGCAAAGGTCCAGTGAGCAGAACACTGGCGTGTCATTCGAGAGATCTGAGTTCAAATCTTTGACAAACGAATTTTTTCCTCTTTTAGTTTATTTTTTTTTTCTTTTAATTTTTAAAAATTATTGTTTAAAAGATTAATATTTTTTTAACATCATTTAATGTTTAGAAACATTTTTAACTATTTTTTAATTTTCTCAAATTTTTATGTTTTTTTTTTAAGAATGATTTTTTTCGTTGTTTTTAGAAAACTTATTAATAAAAGATGAACAAAATAATGCTAAGACCTCCTTGTTAACAGATCTTTCAATATTAATCTTTCGAAATACAGAAAATAGCTTTTAAAAGATTTACCAGGATAAACAATTGTCATACGAAAGACTTTTGTATTTCGCAAGACTGCGGTGAGTTGGAAGACAGATGCCAGAATTTGCCAGTTAGCGGTATTGTTTGTCTTTTGGCAAACAGTTTCTAAAAATTAAATAAAATTAAAAAAAAAATAATCTCCTTTTTAAAACAATAAACTATAAAAATGATAAAATTAAATTAAAAACGCAAAAAAATCAAATATAATAAATCTCTAAAATTAAACAAGAAAAAAGTAATAAATAACTCGGATCTCTCAAATGTGCAAAAATTATCAAAAACCTGCAAAATTTCAGCGTAATTTTCAATTTTTTGCTCAGATGTTTTAGAATTATTTGAGTAAGGAGTTTAAATTCCAGGGTAATAATGTGCAAGCTTTAAATTGCTAAAGAATTGCGTTGATTTTTAATAATTTTTTTTTTTCTGACTGCATTTATTTTCGTGATTTTGTTATACATTTTAGTATAAAAATTTCGGCCCCTCGGCAACACTGAAGTTTAGGAGATCGTTTGCGCACCAAATTTACCTCGTAAATTTACGAGGAGCTCGTAAATAGAGCTCCATACAAATTTTGACAGTTCTTTTACGAGGCTCGTAAATTTACGAGCTTTACGAGGCTTTTACGAGTTTAAGGAAAGACCCGTATTGTATTTTTGTATTTTAAATGACGAAACCAAAGTGAATACTATGCTGGAGTTGGTTCAATCGAATCCTTATTCTTGCGTTGACGGCATTGTAGCTAATGATGTGAATAAAAAAATCGGATTTTTCGTTTTGCTTTACACATAAAAATCGTATTCCTTTCTTTAGAATGTNATTTTTGTATTTTAAATGACGAAATCAAAGTGAATACTATGCTGGAGTTGGTTCAATCGAATCCTTATCTTGCGTTGACGGCATTGTAGCTAATGATGTGAATAAAAAAATCGAATTTTTCGTTTTGCTTTACACATAAAAATCGTATTCCTTTCTTTAGAATTTATTATCCTGCAAAATGAGACAAAGTAAAGACATACGAACGAATTCCGATCTAACTAAAAACATTTTGGTTCAGATCATCTTTACCAGAGATCCAACAGGGATTTTTTTTTAATTTTTTGCTAGTTTTGGTCTGATTCTCCAAAAGTTCACACAAGTGTTTGGCATCGAATTTACTCAATTTCAAGCACTTAATTGATTCTTGTACTCAATTATGATTCCAGCTTTTCACATATGTACATTAATAAGTACTCGACTTTTTTAAGAGTNACGAGGTAAATTATAAAATAAAAATCTCTTATTTCTGCTATGTAGCTTAAAATTAAGGAATAAGCGAATTTATTTTAAAATTGAACATTTGAAACTATTTAAAGTAGTTAAGTACAAAATATAAAGTTTGGGTTAGGTGACTTCTGTTTTCACGGCTTCATATAGAATTCGCACATTTATTTAACGCAAATTTAAATCAAATTAACAAAACGCGAATCAAATTAACAAAACGCAAATAAAATCAACCGAACGCATTCTTCCTCGAAATATAAGATGAATGTTCGGTGTTGGGCAAATTCGAAAAGCAGTTCTGCCAAATTTTATTTATTTTTCTTGTACTAATTGAAAAGTTTTTAGAAGGAAAAAGATCCGCAAAACGAAATAAAAATCAGCAAAATTTATAAAAGTTGCATGTAGAATTTGTAAGTTTTTCGAATACCGATCATTCGGTTCCGGTTCGGCGTTCCGGTTTATTTATTTTGCGTTTAGATTAATTTAAATTGCGTCTGGGTTTCACTGATTTGCTTTTTGATTTAGTTTGAATTGCGCTTGAGTTAAATATAGTACATAAATGTATGGTTGTATGTAATTTTACAACGCTTTTATTTCAGGTTATGTTTTTGCCTTATTTAGAAATCCAGTACAAATGTCTTTGAAACATCCGTCACAAGCAAGATAGGGGAAAACTTTCTTCTGTGACTTTTACTTGGTACATTTTGTTAATATCGATAACTTAACTTAAATAAAATGTCTTCCCTAAGAGCCCCCCGCATACTGAAGACCAGCAACCATCTAATCGGGTTGGGATGTACGTAGGTGCCTACTCTGACCAAACTAAATAGTCGGGTTGGCCTCACTGCCTTATTATGTATTACGAACGATTCGTCTGCAGACGATAACGTCTCTGATTGCGAGTTTATTACTCTATCGGTCGTTTTCGTCTAACTTTTCATCAATTACGTTGCAATCGTCTCGGTTGCGTTTAAACCGGCTAGAATGATGCCGCCGGACTAATTTTTGAAGCATTCCTCTGCAAACGAATCGTTCGTGTTGCCTATCGTTCGTGATACATAATAAGGCTGTAAATCGGTGGCAATTGCTAGAATATCGACGTCAGGGCTGCCAACTTCTTAGGTAGGCCTATAATTAGTAGCACCTGAGTTTCGGCCACAAGCACGAGCAACTATAAAATACAAATTTTCAGGGACAAATACCATATTATTGCACATTTATTTTGCATACGTATTTTTTTAATGCTCTTTTTATAGCACATTCTTTGAAATGTTATGCTAAGATGGCAGCCCTTATCGATGAGTTGGTGGCTGATAAAAAGTCTGCAGTGTACGCACGTAGAAGAGCGCCTTGCTGATCAAGCAGTCGACCGATAGTTGGCAGACTTTCTAGTTTGAACGCAATCGGCCTGCACTGCAAACTATTTAGTCGGGCACGATTAAGTTGGTGAAGTGTGCGCACATCCATGCAAGATGCATGTATTTTAAGAGAGCCCGACTAAATCGTCGGCCGATAAAGTCTGCAGTGTGCGGGGACTCTAAAGCAGCATACACGTTTTCAAATAAACGATTATCAGCATGAACTGTCCTTGCTAATACTCCGCACACATCCCAGAAGATAATTTAGGTAGGCCTTTTTAAGTGAAGCCATTCTGAAGGACCTACCCAAGAAGGTAAGAGGAAAATGCTTCCCTGTCTGGATTCTAGAAGGGCTTTTTCTAATTACGATTTACGCAAAAGTATAAGCTTATGTTATTTAGCATTACAAATTAATTTAAAAATGCATTTTAGATTGCAATAAAACATATTTGATATGAACCTTAAAGAAAGAGAAAGCAAAGCAGTGGGAGGCCTCTTGAATCTCAAGAAGGCCAAAGTTCTGCCGGGAAAAATGTGTCATTCTTTCCATAAATCATTCTAGTATGCAATCAATATCTTTTCGCCTGAAAAAGATTACCCAGCAAACACAGTCTCTAACATTAGATAAACCTTTTTGTTTTACATTAGAATTCTAATGTAGTACTCTAATGTTTTCCGCAGGTTAGAGAACTATGTTAAAATTCGATTGAGAGAATGATTAGAAAACCACTAGACATTAGAAACCGATTAGAATTCAACGTTAGAATGCGATTTAATATCTAACCTTTTTCTCGATATCGAGAACTAAGTCCCCTTTTTGTAGAGAATGCTATAATTCTCGACAGTTTATCTAATCGTCTTCTAACCTTCTCCCACAGAGAAACGCATTCGAATTCTAATCGGTTTCTAATCGTTCCCAAACCTAAATGTTTGTTGGATAATTTCTTGCAAATTATGTTGCAAACTAACAATATTTGGACGATTGTGCTCTCCTAACTTCCACCAAATGGAGAATATGTGGGGAATACAAGCAAGGACAGTTTAAATTGGTGATTATGCAAGTGTGCCACAAACTGTATGCTGCTTTAGAGTTTATTTAAGTATGAGTGAGTCCATATTTCAATCACTTAAAGTCATAGAAGCACAAATAGAGTATTAGAAAGACATATTTGCATGTTTTTTCTAATTTCATTAGGATTTAATTTTTGTATTTATGTATATGTAGTTTTGCAACAAGTTATTTTTAGATTTTTTCACTTTCTTTAAATTAAGTTATGATTAAAAAAAATATACTCTATTTCAAGAGAGCCATTAACATCAAAAGTCACAGAAGTAGGTTTTCCCCCATCTTGCTTGTGACAGTTGTTTCAAAGACATTTTTACTGGATTTATAATTATGCAACTGAGTGTATACTATTTGCGCAAAAGGTTTAAATTAGGCACTTTGGTATTGAAGTAACTATGTATGTATAGTACAATATATCTCGAATCCGCTATGCCGTTATTTGAACAAAGTCATTATAAGCTAGTGTACTACCGCGCATACCACGTAGTAATGTTTAGAGAAAAAACAAAATTGCCCCGCCGCCTTGACCCTTTCGATTTGGTTTGTAAATAAATTCAAGCAGTTGTGTTGATGAAATTCAAACTTTTATTCTATACCTTTTAATAGGGTATGTTGTTGTAAGCATATAGTAGTAGTATGTATGAAGATTATGTCTATAAATCCAATAGTTATCGGCGAGCTGGTCAACTGTTGCATCATACATAAGAATTGCGGCGGCATCAGCAACTTTTCTATATTACTCGGTGGTCACATGTCACATGTTGGACTGTTTTTAAACAGTAACAGACCTGCACCGGCACATAGAACAAAGTCGGCAACTATTGCAGCTAATTCATTGTATTTTGACAACAGCGACACACACACATTACATATAGTAAAAAATCAAAAGTTGTTTAACTAGCAATTAAGAGTTCGAAAACACCTGTAACTCGTAAGTGTAAATATGTTTTGTTGTTTTGTTATAATTTTTACTCGTCGATTTAAGTTTAAAAATCTCAACTGTTTTAGCGACAACTTAAGTCTAATGCAAACAACTATCATCAACTGGTATGGTATGTAGTAGATTATGTGCTCTAATTGCGGTTTCCAGACTTGGGATTCCTCTGTCTTTTATTAAAATTAGGCTTCTTATTACCACCACTAAATAATGTATTTCATATAGTGGATCAATATTGATTTGTATAATGGAGCGACGAGTTGCAGATTGTTCACACATTTTCGTTTTGTATACGTTTATATAATGCGGGTTTTCAAGGGGCAATGAAAAGAGAAGGAATGGAATAGAAATTCCAGTATTAACAGTTTTATCAATGTGATTATACACTATTTTGCTAACTTGATAGTTGTGTATTTATTTAACACTTTACACTTAGATTTGTGAGACCGAAGAGACGGTTGCTTGCTTTCGTAGTCAACGATTTACAGAGGGCAAAGAATGGGTTGGCATGTTCTCGCACTCATAGGCATTGTAATTAGAGTAATTATATTTGTGGTGATTGCGAATATTTTTTTACTTTTACACACAAAATTGCAAACAATAACCTCCTGGATTGACTTTAAAAAAACATTATAATTCATATATTATTACAATTAAAGAAATCACATTTAATATAGTTACTTAATTACAATGCCCACATTCTGTTCGTACCTCATTTCATATTTACAATTACATGTAAGTTTTATGCTTTATGAATCCACTATAACTATTAGTGTTTTGGTTAGAAGAAAAAGCAATTGGGTATTTTAACTCTAATACAAAAGCTTGTTTTTATTTCTACCTTTCGTTTTGATTCTTCACTTTTCCGAATGTTGAATTTAACAACATTTCAAAAAAGTTGGATTCTTGTTCTACATTTCTCAGAAACGTTTTATTTTGTGGGTACTCGTTTGTATTCTATTTCGCCTAGTTTACATTTTAGAAACATTTTTAAAATAATGGCGGGCTGATGGATGCGCTATTGAAACAAATTTTTAATTTTTTAGTGGGAATTAATAAGGCTCGTTCATCTCTTAACCGCAGATATAGCAAATAACAGTTATCACTTTCTTAATTTCAACACTTCTTCAATACACCGCGCGACAAAAGCCAACAAATTTCAAAACTCACGAAAAAGTCAATATACTGCCGTAACTAGGGGTCAAATATAGCAAAAACTGCACTTTTAGTTTTCTGTCTGACGTCAGGATTTTATATAGAGGAGTTTAATATTTCAAAGTTTATTCAAAAAAATTATTTTAAAAACTCCGTGCAATTTAGAATAACGTGCGTATAAAATAAAACAGAAATTTGTCTAGAATTGACAAAATTTTAATTTTTTGGCTCACAACGAGGTGTAGTTTATGTACTTTTAAATAATTTTTTTTATCGTAAATTGGCAAAATTCGAAATACGAAGTTCGGGGATGTATGCAATTGTACATACGGTGGCGAGAATCTAAATAGGGAAAAGACATTTTAGCTATAATGGGCTACTTTTCTTTGTTTAAAAAATGTTTAGTATTTTTTTATATAATATAAATACACGTAGCTTACTATCTAAAAAACATGTAGATCAAAATTTAAAACTTTGTAGAACACCCATAAGAATTCAACGAGTTTTGAAAAATGTTGATCAAAACTTTCAACTTTTTAATTATGCAGTATTGTAGGCCATTAAATTTTAGTATAAGTTACAAGATTGAAGTAGCTAAGACTTGCCGTTGATTTTTTGCAATTTTTTTGCTCGCGCATTTCTTCCATGCAAAGTATGGCTGACTTCCAAAACGTCATTTGCATTGCATACGTACAAAGTTTAATGTTCCATAACGCCAAACTACAATTGTTTGGCAATGTATACTTTGCCGAAGCGCATCCGAAAAGTTATCGAAACGTATCGCCAGAGTAATCAGCGCATCAAAAACGAAGTTGATGCTCCGTTTGGTTTTAGTTACCATTTGGATTTTAAAAATGGAAAATACCGAAATGGTGATCATTGTTTTACTAAATATTCAAAATATGCAATGTATATGTAGAACAGTATCCAAACATTGTATTGGTACGTTTTGGAGGTCAGCCTATGTTCGACAATGTTTTTTGTATGGAGAAAATGAGCAACATCTTCCACAAAAAAAAAGAATTGCCAATAATCAACGGTAAGTCCTAGCTGCTTAAAATGTGTACAAATGTACATGAATAGTCAGAATGCTTCTAAGAAAACTAATTAAAAATCTCAAAATGTTGATTAATCTTTGTCGAATTTGTCTAATTTTTGTACAGAGCTCGAAATATTGACTTACATGGTTTTTTTGAGATAACAATCTACACTCTCATAAAAGTTAATAAACATTAAATATCACTGTGCGACAGCCGAAATTAGTCCGGACTTTGTCAACATATTCTGAAAGAAAGAAAAGTTAGCTCGTATTTATATTTTATGGCCTACTAAAGTTTTCATGTCCCGGCTTAAGTACTTTTCAAAAAAGAGGAAAAAATTGATAAAATAAATGTCTGAGCGAAATTGAAAGTTAAGACATACATACATATACGGTTGAAAATTTCTCAACTGGACCTCGGATTTCAGTCAAGTTCGAAGTTTTGCGTGGAAATTTATGGGTAGAGAGGGTTATAGATGTGAAAGGGATTCTGAGAATTTGAAAAATTTTAATTTGTAAAGTTTTTATAAGCAAATATATTTTTAAGCAATCTTTTTTTCAAAACTCATTTTCTCTTAAAGTATTTGACGAAAGTTGAAGAAATTTTTTTTTGTAAGCGTAGTGACATTAGAGCTTTAAAAAAATATATATTTTTATAATTTAGAAAAAAAAAATTTAATTCAAACATGATAAATATTCAAGTTGCATTAAAAATATGTTCTCAATGAGTTTTTCCCATTTAGTTTGTATTTTCGAAAACTGCATTTACTGAGGAAAATATTTGTAAAAATAAAAATTGTTAGATCTTTTCTGTGCGCGCTGTGACATACATATGTTGCTGTAAGTCAAAAACAGAAAAGATCTAACAAATTTTAATTTACAAATATTTTCTTCAATAAATGCAGTTTTAAAAAATATAAACGAAATGGAAAAACTCATTGAGAACATATTTTTAATGCAACTTGAATATTTANTTCTACATGGCAAAAATTTTTGGCACAGGGAATTTCTCAAAATATATTCAACAATTTTAATTTTTTTCCTATAATTCTTTCTTAAGTTCATACTACAACAAAAAAATTAAATAAAAACATACAGGGTATTCATCTAAACGCATAACTGCTTCGTAACTGTAAACTTCGTAAATAAACCGGTTTTCCATGGGGGTTCCATGGGAAAGTGGATCTCAGTGCGAATATTATTTTCTTTCTAAAACTAACAAACGTGTGGATAAGACATATGTAAACATCTTGAATCAACCAAAAAATAACAAATGATCATGAAGAATTTAACGATGCTCTTCCATTTTTATGTGAGAATTGAAGTCGGTTTTGCTTTTTGCTAAAAATTACTTGTTTGAGTTTCTATTTGGTTTGATTTCAAACTCTAATGCTGACTACACACGAGGCAACCGTTGAGACAACCAGGGCATGTTGCCTCGACTGTTGCCTTGTCTGAGTGAGAACATTTCCCATTAAGAGCCTAGCATATGCAAGCCACGTGAGTGAACTTTTATGTCTGATTAACTGTTATTTGCGTTCTTTGGAAATCGAAAAAATACTGGAGACGCACAGTGGGTTCAAATCTGGCATTTAGTGTTCATAATTCACTGGAGCCTTCATTTTTCAATCAATTTGATTCATTTTTTTTTTTTTTTTGAATGAAAGCTTATAAAATTTGCAAGAGACCAGTTACCTCATTTTTTAATTTTTAATTGATTATTACTTGATTACATTCTATTTCTTAGTGCGAAGTGCAGAAAAAGTAGCAATTTTGAGAAAATTGATTCTCCTGTTTCAGTTAATATATGTTATGTAATAAAAACTAGTTGATTCCTAAATTTCAGATCATTTACTCGATTTGTTCAAATAAATTTAAGTGAAAGGTTTGAAATTTTAAGTAAAAGCAATTGCTAAGTTTTTATGCAAACGGCCCAATGTTAACCAAAATTAACATTTTTTTTGGTTTTTGGAAATATTTGGGTATGCAAATTTATAGATCATTAAATGTTAGTATAATAAAAACAGCAAGTTGCAATCGGCTAAGAGTTCGCTCTGATTTTTAATAATATAACAAAAAAAATTATAAAAAAAAATCAAAGCAACCTCATAGCCACTTGCCACTTGCAAGTTATTATACTAAAATTTAATGATCTACATATAAAACTGCATACCAAACATTTTTCTAAAAGCTCAAAATTTTCTCTGTTTTCATTATGGTAACATTTTTTATAACATTTCAAATTTTTCTTGTGAGTTTTTGTATAGTTTTGGGGGAACCCTACAATTAGTTTTTAATTTGTATCATTTATTAACTAGAACAGGAGGAGCGATTGCTGCTTCTTCTTTAAAAAACAAAAATTAATCTAATTGGTTCAAAAATGAAGACTCCAATGAATTATGAACAGTCCTTTCCAGTTTTGAATCACTGTGCGACGGGAGTTAACTTGTCGCTATGAAAACGGTAAGATTCTAATCATGGTTTAGAGACATGCAGAGATATGCATAAGGAACCAGTTCTGGACCAGGCAATAGGTCTATGTATGTCATCGTGCATACTTACAAGTGAAAAATGTTCTTCTTCTCACGTGTTGTTTTTTTTTTTAAATATTAACAACGTTTTTTAGGTTAAAATGGTTTTATTATTTTTTTATAAATTTTTTTTTTATGCTGCAGCCAACACAAAACCAAACAAATCAAAGTTTCAAACTTAATACAAAAATTATAAAACTTAAACAAATTTTCATCAAAATATGGAAATTTTGTCTGAATGTTTAGAAATTTTCCAAATATAAATTAGGACGGGATATTTTAGAAATTATTAACATTTTTTTTTAGTTTATTATTGGTTTATTATGAAACGGCAAGTCCTGGGCAATTCAAATTTGCACTTTATTATACTACAAAGTTAGAAACTTTCAGTTTTATGGATTTTGTTGTAGTGTGAACCATGATAAAAAAAAACTAGGAAGGTAGAACCGCTGAGAGGAATTTTTCAAATTCTTGACGTTTGCAAGCAATTTAAATTTAAAATTTTACACACAAACGCACACACACATTCTCATTTTCAATCTCAAACAACAACAACTTTGAACAATTCATTTTATTACTCTCAATTTTATATGATTTTAAAATGCTGGCAAACGTAAAAAAAAATCATGGCCGATGAATTGAGAGAACGGCTTTACCTTACTATGTTTTTATCATGGAGTTCACACCATATTGTTATTAAAAGTTAATAAAATTAAAATAAAAAATATTTAAAAAAAAAATGGAAAAAAATTACTGTACGATTTTCACTAACACACTTGAAACTTGCATATTTCATGGGCTATAAAACCGCATACCCAAAAATTTTCTATAGATTCAAAATAAAAGTTTCGAAATTTTGATGAAAATTTGAAGATTTTCTAAATTCTGTATAAAGTTTGAAATTTAGATTTACATACAAACATACATATCGCTAGCTTAGAGTGAAAAGTTGCTAAGTCCACTTTTTATGAAAACTCATATTTTGATATAGGAGGCTAGAGAAATTGAAAAGGCATCGTTTCGAAAATTATAAAGGTACTTGTTTTATTTTTTCCTCTTCATAAGCAATAAAAGGAAAATTTGCTAAGTCCAAAAGAAGCACCACAAATCCGATAAGGCGAAAATAATACGACATCTTTTAATAAATATCGAATCCTTCTGATTCTTATGGAGTTTTGCTTTGCTTTAAACGCGCAAAATGTTTGATTCAAAGTCTTGCGAAATAGTTAAAGAAAATGGCTATAGGAAGATTTTTTCCTCTCCTGTAAAATTTTTAAAATGGGACTTAGCAACTTTTCTTTCTAAGCTAGCGATATGTTGTTTTGGTTAAAGCATTTTTTAGCCCAGCAAAATTTAGATCAAATTGGTACGAAGAAAAAAAAATTATAGTAGCAATTTTTTGATGCAGTTTACTTCTATTTGGCATGGATCCATGGATGGTCTTGCCCCTAAATTTCATGGCAAAATTCCGCCATGTTGGACTTTAGCCAGAGACTATAACGATTATAAGAAATAAAATTAAACATTGCTGTATAATTATTATTGAACAATGGAAAAGTTGTTTTCGTCTCCCGAGACGAAAATCGTTAGACTAAAAACTTTTTCACCTTCTCCTAATTATTATATGGGACTTTTATTTTTTTCGTCTGGCGACACGATTATTTTACGTTGGAAATTATTTTCTTCTTCTCATAAGGATTAAGGTCTTAAAATGATCACATACGACGACGCACCCATTTAGATTTTGCTTTACAAATTTTGAATTTTTCCAACCTGACTTCAGATTAGTAATAAGCGGCCTCAAGAACCCTTGAAAAAATCGTTTCAAGTGGACCGAATCGATTTTAATTTTTTGGCCGCCATATTGGATTCGCCATTATGAATTTTTAAAATTATGCTCTAAGTTCCTGCTGTTGCTATTTATTTTTTAAGTGTTGGGTTCACCGGTTTCACGGTTAGTTTAAGACACCAAATTTGAGACGCAACGTTGCAAAGGCCACACTGTTTTCAATGTGATCATTTTAAGACCTTAATCTTTGTAATTCGTTCTATAGAATTTTGGCCATCGAACTGTACCGGTTCACGTGATGTGGAAATGAATTTTAAGCCCCTTTCCCTTACATCGGCTATGTTTGCTACGTTGCCGATCGTGATTTGAACACGTTACGTATTTTCAACAGAAATTGTTGAAAAATGGCGAAAACCGTGACAATGTAAAATTCACAAATTTCACAGTTTTTACTAATTATTTACAATAAAAAGTGTTTTATTTAAACCTTCTATAGAAAAAATGCGGGAATTAAATTCTCTAAAAATTTGTATTCAGCAACTTTTTACGAAAAATTAAAAATAAAGCTGCAAATCGCAAAAAACCCAAAAAGAAACCTAAAATACAATATGACGGAATGTTGCCATATGAAATTAAAGGGGAAGGCCTGTGATACGTATCAAATAGAAGTAAACTGCATCCAAAAATCGCTACATTTTTTTTTTTTATAATAAAAAAAAAACAAAACGTTTACGTTAAAAACATTGTTAATACATATTTAAAATAAATCCACAACTAAACACTTGTGTGAACCGCGATTTAAAGGAAGCACTTAGGTTAAACGCGACTAAAGTTATTAAAATAATATTAAAACCTGCAAAATATAAATCCAATTTAATCAATTCTGGTGTTTATATAACGTTTGAATAATCTAAAGCGCTTTTGTAGTAATTGAAATAAGGTGATCTCAGCTGAGGGGCTTTTCTCGAAAGCTTCCGAATCTTTTTTTCACTTGTAAATATGCACAATGGCCTATGAGGCCTCCGAGTCAACTCTCTTTTAGAGCTGCCCGCATAACCTAGCACCAGTCTACACTTAAGTATAGATTTAAACATAGATTTATTCCTTCAAATCTCTGGGAAATCTAAATGAAAATCAATGAAATCAGCCCGATGTCGCAATAAAAAAGAAATGGGCGTTGCAATCGATAATCCAGAAAGTCAATATCTTACTGTGGTAAGAAGACACCTTTTTTTAATATATTCTGTTGTAAACGGCACAAATTGAGGTGATCAACCTTCAATATAGTCTATAATTAAATGGGTTTCTGCTCTTTTAATTCGTCAACCGATAAAGCCAATGGAATTATTTGTTAAAGGTTTTTTTGATTTAATAAAAACCAATAAATAAAACTTAGCTATCATCCAGAACGGAAAATTTTTGTTGAATTGTACTAGTCTCTCACTAATCTTAATAGTAGTAGTGCTACTATTTGTACGATGTAAAATTAGGTATCTCACAACGAGAAGCGTAAATTTGAAGATATTTTTTTGCTGAGGTAGATTTGCATTATCTTTTGCAGACTTTGTTTTTTTTTTTTTTGCCAAAGGATCCCTAAATATGAATTGATTTTATTTTTGTATTTTTTGAAGTGTTTACTATGCTACGCTAAAAGATAAATCAATATTCGGCGGTTACATTTTTGCTAAGCGTTTGTGAGAGCTTCTCGCGTCCTATTTGTGATGTGCGTCTTAATGTTGTTAGACAAATGGAGAAACCTACAGTTTTTTGCCATTCAGATATTAAGCCAAATCACTTTAAGCCAATTAGTGAATTTTCAATTAGAAGAAAATAAAGTTTAAGTTTAGATAATGTTTTGATTTTTCTATATTAAATTGGGATCCCTCTAACTGGATGCAATGAAAGGATGAACTAGATATCTTAGAAGGCAACTAAACTGATTGGCTTTAAACGGTTTCCTTAGCAAAAACTAATTTTCAATTTTTCGCAAATTTTAAATGTCGGTTTCATTTTCGTATAAATAAATAATGTACTTAAGAAGAAAGAATTTTTTAATGTTATAAACAAATGCATACAAGGCACATCAAAAATATTATCATCTATCAAACCAGCGTTTTTCATGTGAAGCTAATATTATCTGCCTTTGATAAATTTAACTCATTCGGATCTCACATTTCTTTTATATAATTGTAAATAAAATGAAATAAATAAAACTTGTTAAAGTTCTATACATACCCATCAACCCATGAAGAATTCGAATTGTCCGTTCCTGTAGCATCGTTTCCACCATCTGGGCCTCCTTGTCTTTCATTATCCTCGGGACCACTTCGGAATGAATTCTGCCCTCCGCGATCGCCCATGTTATTATTACCGCCAAAATTACGTCGATCGTCGTTGGGACCCATTCTGCTAAAATTTGCCCCATTATTACCACCACCACCACCGAAATTCGGACCATTGCCACCTCTAAAGTTCGGACCATCTCCGCGGAAATTCGGGCCGTTCCCTCCTCCGAAATTAGGACCATTTGGCCCAAACCTATTGAAATTGGGTCCATTCGGGCCAAAATTAGGCCCGTTGCCACCAAAATTCGGACCATTGCCACGGAAGTTTGGTGCGTTTCCTCCGAAATTCGGCCGGTTTGGTCCATTATTGGGACCATTGCCTCCGTAATTTTGACGATTTCCTCCAAAATTGGGGCCATTTCCTCCGAAAGGGGGACCGTTTCCTCTGAAATTGGGACCGTTTCCTCCAAAGTTAGGACCATTTCCTCCAAAGTTAGGACCATTTCCTCCAAAGTTGGGACCATTTCCTCCAATGTTACGGTTATTCCCTCCAAAGTTGGGCCCATTACCTCCAAAGTTTGGCCCATTACCTCTAAAGTTAGGTCCATTGCCTCCGAAGTTTGGATCATTACCTCCAAAAGTAGGATCATTACCCCCAATGTTAGGTCCACTTCCACCATCTGACTTATCCATGTCAGATTTTTGTTTTTGTAATTGCTGAAGTAACATAGGTAATTGTTGAA